AACAGATCTCCATATTTTTGTTGCATATAAAAGCACGTATGACACTTGTGAGCAATACTTTTATATGTTAAACTCGCAATATTTTGTTTGTTTATCTATCGAATCGAGATATTTCGATGTGTTTCAACATCACGTGCACGCATAAAATATTTAATTTTTTCAGATAAATTGACAAAAAAATAAAGTGAAGAATAAAAAACAACTTCAACAACAATAACGACAACAATAATAAAAAAAAACTGAATTTTATTCGGTAACTCTTAAAGCGAACAGTCATGGGAACCAACTTTTCACATTCCAAAAATACTTCTGTTTTACTGCATCTTTTCGCTCATCTTGTCTTTTTTTTGCCCGCGAACTTAATTTCAGTATTATTTTGAATGCTCTTATTCTTATAGTAGTGAATAATAATATTAGTGCGGAAAACTGAGCATACAGGATATAATTTTTTACACATATCCGAAAAGAAACACACATATATTTTTCCTTCTAAACCGGAAATAAAATTTAAATGGTGAACTCAACTGCAATACTTATATTAGGTAGAGATTGGAAAAGGACATACCACTCCATGTTAACTTCATGGACACCATAGCAAGAAAACTTTCTTGACTGGTAAAAATTTGTATATGAGAAATTAACTAACAACTTCGCAAATACCTTATTAACTGCATTAATGTCAATAATCTGAGGATTCACTGGTACCAGCTTCATTTTATGCTGTGCTGCTGCTGTAGCCGGTATTTGCCTTCCGATGACTTTTATCAGATGCGGCGAATACGCAAACAAAACGACGTTGCATACTTTTTATTTGTTCGTTTATAATTTTTTCTCACAAATGGTACAACTAAAAGTGCTGAGTACCCAGAAACCCTACCAACAACACATAAAAATACTTGGCACAATTCACGAATCCTACGGTTGCCTTATGGTTCAGTTTAACTTGCTTCTAGCGACCCAATGAAGTCGGCTTAATTTTAAAATGCTTTTAAGTTTGATTTCTTGGTATTTTTTTTTGTTTTGTTTTATTAACCTAAGTTTCCACCACTTTTATTTATTTTTTTCATCTCTTTTTAAGAATTCCTATATGGTCTTTCAGTTTTTTGAAGTTACTTTGGTGCGTTCTGCTGTTTTACCTGCTTATTCACAAAGAGCTTCCATCTCAACTTGTCAGCGGACATGTTGATTGTGTTGTTCACATAATGTGAGCATCCTTCCAACTGAATTCGCAATAATAACACCAAAAATTAAATATTAGGAACAGACCCATCTGCAGATAGCAGATGATTCAGAACTGATGAGAGGACGATTTGAAATGAATGTGGATTAATTGCAATGAAGAACATCATAAGAGACTATTAAAGCGTATATATTAAGTATATTATGCATGTATAACTAATTAATAATTGACATTCAATTTAATTATATGTAATATATAATAAATAGGTTTTCGAACAGTAGTAAACTACAACAACAAAAACTCATTTTATATTATTTTAATTAATTGAATTTTTGGCTGATCATCATCAATGGTCTTGGAAGTAATTCTTGTATTTAATTATTCGTAAATAATTTTTTAGAGACTGCAAGTACCAGGAATCGAACTCGTATCCTGCCAAATTTGAAGCTCAGACTCAGCGTATCTCACCCAACTGACCTAAAGCCATACTTTACCATACTTGATAGCTTAATATTAAATGAGCAAAAAAGGAAAGTACTTTCTGTCAACAAACAAATTTCATGAGCGACTTGGGACCCATGTCACTATTGGCAAATAAAAGTTCGAAATTGTGAAAGACTTGTTTATTTGGTAACCAGCGTAAATAACAAAAATGACGTCAACCTAGAGATTAAATGGAGAATCACTCTTGCTAACAGATATTACTTTGAGCTAAGTAGACAATTGAAAAATAAAGCACTCTCTCGATAAATAAAAATCATGCTCTTAAAGACTCCTATCATGCCTGTCATGATAGACCTATCGTATTATGCTTGATAGATCAAACACCGTACTTACCTAGCATGATCCAATTCGACTTTGTCGAAAATCGCGTTTGAAGCCAATTGCAGTCATTATTATGCTTGATAGACCAAACACCGTACTTACCTAGTATGACTCAATTGGACATTGTCGAAAAACGCGTTTAAAGTCAATTGCAGCCATTAAAGAAAACTCACAGAAACTATTGAAGACTATACTTAAATCAGACTATACTTAAAACGTATGACGGATTGAATCAAACTATGGAGCCTATTACAAGACCACAATATTTTTATTTAATAATTCTGGATAGTTGTTACACACTGAATGACAAGAAGAATCAAAATTAATATACCCAAAAATATGCATACCTATATAATTCTTTCAATTAACCATTCTCGGAAGCATACTAATGTATGTCAATCTGTATAGTAAAATATCGATAAGCTATTAATATGTTTTATAATTACATTCATGATTACATAAAACATGTTCTTTTATTGCATCTAAAATAAATTAAAACTTATTGCGTATGGAAGGCGTGTATAAGTACAAAAACCACGGAGGTGAATTAAATTCCAAATCGAATCAACGATCAATGGCGGCAACCGCCGAGCGACCATAGCTTACAAATGACATAAAAAAAAATTTAGGAAAAAAATGAATTAAATACCAAACATTATTTTAAAATTAGTTTCAGTTTTTTCTTCTTATGGCGGTGGCCGCATTAGAAAATTGCGCGTTTTGACCGGATAGGATGCTGCAGTACATAAACGTCTCACTGAAGATTCTTCCGATTGGTTGATCATTGATCATTAATACTTGTTTTGTTTTGCAATGCCTCTTATTTCTACCAAACATACCAAAAACTATGCCTTGACGAAGTTAGCAATGACTGCGTTTTTAATTAATCCACCGATCTTCCCCGCAAAACAGGTAAAAATTGACGAGCAATCATATTCGCTGATAATATTGCCTTCAGGCCAAATTTATTAAATGGCGAAAAGTAACGAGGAAGCGCACTCTTAAGATTTAAGAGAAGATAAGGAAACTATTAAGCCATTTTGTGTTTAACAATTTATGAAGTTTTACTGAGAAATGATATTCTGGATATTAATCGATTGATATGAAGAAAGTATTTTGATGTGAAATTTCTAAATATTCATTATTGATAAAACCAAGTCATAACGATAAGTTTTGTTAGGAATAGTTTTGTATTATTTAATATAAGAAATATTAAACTCTAATGGAAAAATAAGTGCAATTAATGAAATAATTGAATTTGATTGGTTCCTAATACGAATGCAGTTTGATAACTAAACTACATTATCGCGATGAAAAAAGTACTCTTCTTTTTTCTTCTTTATTTGGGGCAGTTTTTTTGCCAACTCGTTATACAAAAGTTCTAATAACTGTATAAGATAAATGCTAATGAAGATTTTAATAAGGTAATCAGTAAATATTATATTATGTGCATCTCAAAATATGGATACAATAGCATTATCAACCGATTTTTGCGACTTTGATAGGTTTGGACGGCTTTTACCGTTTGCTATTCACTCATCTGACTAACGTTTTCACTTCTCAGTGAAGTAGTGCATCTATGTTTTATTCAATATCACATATCGAGGTGCAAAAAAATCCATTTAATATTACTTAAACAGCTCCAAATAGCTAAATTAATCTTTGACACTTTGTTGTTTTTAGTCGGCGCTGCACCCATTTCGGCAGCAACTTTCTTGTAGACAAATGTTTATGTTAAATAAACCGCATATTCCCTATAAACCCTTATATTCCTTTAATATATTTAGAGTATCAATTATATTCTTTTTTTGATATTTTTACGGTGTAATCGCTAGACCAGAGCGTGGTGCCTCATCAGTGTCTATATGGCCACGTTTAAAGTGTCAAAGCCAATGTGCAACGGTTGCGTTCGATGGGGCCGAGTTCGGATGACACTAATCGAGTCAAACTTTGGCTTGATCGATGATATTGATAATAAATAATAAAGCAATAATAAATTAATAAACAAAATTGCTTTGAATTGAATATTGTTTTAAATATGCCCAAAGTAGTCTCATTAAAAACACTGTAACTTGTAAACTAAACTATAAATTGTAATGAAATTGTGTTTGTTTGAAGATAAGTACTTTTTAAAAAACACAATCTTTTTTTAATAGAGACCCCATCTTTATTTTAACCTTGAGGCTTTTCAGCCGATTATTAGAGATTAATCTAATTGACCTGATCGATATCATAAAACGAGTATACCCTATTTATAATGTTCCTTATTAAGTTATAATTTTCACACAATTTTTTTTGTAAAGTGGTTAAAGTCGTTGGAAATATGGTATTAATGTAAGTTGTTATATTATTATAATCCTAGTCCTTATATTAATGGTTATTAAATTATTGGTTATAAAAGTCGTTAAAATGGTTCTTATTTGTGATGATTTATTATTAAAAAATTTAATTAAAAGAATTAGGATCATGTTATACAGACAGTCATATGACGTATGATAACGGTAATTATTCGCTCTTTTGGTCATGACCAAAAGGCACGTTATGCAGAGAGTCATATTATCATTGTCAATTTCCTACTTTTACTACTGTTTTGGTAAGTTGTTTTTGTACCTTAATGTAAAAGATTTTTTTTTTTGTATGGATATGTTTACATATCCATACAAAAATACACATATTACTTATTATAATCGCAAATTTGGACATTTATTAGTTAGCAACTCTATTTTGACAGAAATCTTCGTCACCGAGACCAAATTTAAGTCGAAATTTTTCGCATTCTCAATTTTGTAATTTAAAACATTTTTAAATTTGTCCATTGTAAAAATAATGTTTAAAAATAATTGTAAATAAATTTTTGAATTATTTCTTCTAATGTAAAATATTAATTATTTTTTTAATTCGAGGTTAAATTTTATAGTAGGCCAATATTTAAATTTTTTTTCTAAAATATAGTCACATACTTTTTTTTTGAAAACAAAAATTTTTGACGAATTTATGTTTATCTTCTTGAAAATAAAAATCGTTGTCATAATATATCTTACTCTGGTTTTACCTTAATTTATAAAATGGATTTAATGGATGTGGACAAAACCTTAGACGAGTTAATCGCTGAGAGGAAGGTGCGCAGAAAGCGTAAATTTGTCGTAATGGATAAAATTGACTATTCGTACGATAAAAGTTTGGATGACATAATTGCGGATAAAAAAAAGTGTGAACAAAGACCACGTCGGGAGCGACGTCGTTACGTTAAGTATAAAAACCAACAATCCAGACGCTGGGTTCGCAAAAATCGAGTAAAGTCAACAACCATGTCAAAGGTAAATTTTTATATAAAAACATTATTCTCTATTAAAGTTCAAGTTTCAAGAAAATTATACTTCCTTTAAGAAATCTATTTAATCATCTAGTACTAATAAACATATGATATATATGGTTTTTTTTTATAGAAGCACAATTATACATTGATAATGGTTTACAATCTTGACAAATACGTAACCAATGATGACCTTATGGTTCTTTTTGAAGATTTCGGAACTGTAATGAATTTGTGCATTCATTACAATGTGGATTCTGAATCTTTAGGTTATCATACATAATAAGATAATACAGTGCATATAAGTATATATATATTCAGAAATAATAAATAAATATATATTTTAGGTATAGCGCATGTTATGTTTAAGTATAGAGAGGATGCTCTAACAGCTATTACTGTTTGCAATGGTGTTAAATTAGATGGCAAGGAAATGTTAATTGAACTCTCTAATATATGGAATATACGTAAGTTATATATGAACATTAATAAGAAGTGACTATTACATATATATAATATATGATATGGTATTCTTTATTAACAGGTATTCCTTATTTAGATGATAATAGTCAAGTTAACCCATATAACGAAAAAGGTTTTAATCGTTCAGGACCATTTCGTAGACGTTGACTTAATGACTATTTTGACAAAACAACTAACTACTCTTCTGTAATGCAAATAATATATATTATTTGCACATATAAATAAAACAATGGGATATAAAATAAGTTATTGAATATTTAATTAATCATATATCAAATAATAATGTTAGCGTCTAAATTTATTAGATAAAAGGATACAAAGACATATGTTAAAATTTTTCGGCAGTCTTGATGTATATTGAATGAATATAATTTTAACAAATATCCTTTGAACTCATATCCAATGAAGAAAATTATTAACATAAGTCAAACTTTACATGTTCAGAAGTTACTTTTTTACTCTTCTATTTATTTTGGGTTGTAGAAAAAGTCATTGTGCAAGTAGAGAACACTGGTGCTTACATCTCTAAGCATCTTCTATATAATATAATATCAGCAATTCAATAAACTTCTTTTTTATCCACCGTATTTATCATACTCGGCCACAATCTACCCACAATTTCAAAACCATATCTCTCTCCCAAGGAGAGAGATTTAACACCACAAACGAAACTTAATTCAAAACAAAAATTGAGAGTAGGCATAGGTAGTTCTCCAAGGGAAAACATTGGAGTGTTTGTATTGCTATTAAAAGAACATATAGTTAATGATTCAATCCATACACTAATGAATGAACTCTATTTTTACAAAAATGTATAGTTTTCCGGTACTTATCCTTGTAGCTTACTGAATGAAAAGTTAATTTATATAATTTTAAGCAAATTAAGCTTATATTAAATAAGCATTAGGAGCATTCGAAAGAAAATTTTTTTGGAAGAACTATGGTCCCTCACGTGTTGGCAATGATTATCGAATTAGATGGAACGATACGCTGTTTTAGCTATATCGCGACGTTGACATAGTTAAGAACATAAAAAATTCAGCGGCTTCGCTAGCTTGGTCATGTCGTGCAAATAAAAGAAAATGCTCTGGTTTGAAAGGTATTTAATTCGGTACCCGCAGATGGAAAACCCGCGGTAAAAGACATCCGCATCTTTGATGAAAGGACTAGGTGATCAACAATTTGGGAGCGCTCGGTATTACTAACTGGCGACAGCAAGGAACTGATCGGGCTGGCTGGCGAAGACAACTTGACCCGGGCAAGGACGACTCACGTCTGTAATGGTGAAATAAGTAAGTAAGTAGGTAGCTTAATTAAACGGCTAAACTAATTTTATTTAATATCATTCGTTTAATAATTATTCAGTTTTTAAAATGAATAATTTTTTTGAACCTCAATGAGTAGAGTAGCATTTAAAATCGTAAGGCAATTCACGACGAATCAGTGTGATATATTGACCAGTTTTTGTTGAACAATTTTTTCATAAATTTATTAATAAAACGAGAAGGTTTTAACACTACGAGAAAATAAACCAATCAATATTATAAGACAATAAATTTTTCGTTACACCAAAAAATGTCAACAATCGAAAAATGAGATATCCGGACTATTTGAAGGAAGTCGTTTCTTATATGAGTAAATCTAATATTGGCCGATAAATTTAACCCTTCCCCAACTAAGAAACAACATTTTAATTAGCGATGACATGTCATTTTAGTTATAAAAGTGTAATTAAATATGTTAACTTCGCAGCTGGAAATGTTCAAGCTCCAACTATCGCTCAAGGAAAGCGTTATCCTTTGAATTCCAGTACGAAGGCTATTACTAATATCACTCATAAATCATACATGTTTATACCAGAAGTGCATATTAGATGCAAATTGATAAGATTAAACGTTGTAGGTAAGCCATAATACATTTGGTAAATGTATGAACATTGCTTTTAGTTAGCCCACACTAAATAACATGGAATATATAAAGATATCTCTCTTTAGGCAACTTCATTGCTTTGGAACACTATTAATTAAATTCTGCACCCTGTGTAGCAAACGAAAGACACGTCAACACTTCAACTCTTTTTCATATCCCTTTCGTAATAAAAATTCCAGGCGCTGTTTATCTTGATCATTTTCTTTTGCACCCGTGCAGGACACACAACAGGCCACGGACAAAATATATGTACAAGGTCCTTTGCAGTGAAAATGTCTGCCTAATGAAAAGGATATCAAATAAAATGAAAAATAAAAATTAACTTGGTGGACCCAATGGAATGTTTATTACGAAGGCATAAAATTAAAAAAGAATACACTTCACTGGACAGACAGTTGTCAACTGTAGTGCTGATGCAAAGGATTCCATGGGTGTAATGAGGTAATCTACAATAATTTTGTTAAAATTATGTATATGTTTATTAAAAATTAAATAAAAAAAATTTTTAATGTACACTGAGACGGTTTTATTCTGGGTGGTTTTTAAGGAAAGATTTTCAATAAAAGTATTTTAAAGTATGAAAAAAATTAAAGGCTCTATGATAGTCGTTGTACTCCGGATACGAACAAGTAGTCGAAACAGTAGACACCTTCTCTTCACATTTCTTTTTACAGTACACTGAGACCTTTTCATTTCAAGGTTTTTAAAGAAAGATTTTCAAAAAACCGTAGTACCGTAGTACTTCGCTTGCGATACTTCGAAAACGATAGAGCAGTTGAAACAGTGGACTAGTTTAAAGCTAGTTTAATCAGTTGGAAAGGTTCCGGATTGTATTTTTGAAATTCGCATAATATAAAAATTACCTACAATAACAAAATTATTACGAACGGCTGCTACGTCCACCGATTTCCCCAGATATGACTTTATCTAATTTTTAATTTCAATCAAACTCAATTTCAATCAAGTTTTAAGACCAAGCCAAGGGTAGGTTAGGTTAGGTTGGAGTAGCGGTATTGTGACACCACACGTTAGCGTTGATAACACGCAGACTAGAGGTCAGCGTACGAACAACGCATAAAGACAGAACTCCCCCATTCAATTGCAAGTAAATCAACCTGACAAGTCTAAGAAATTTGGTCAAGTCGCTAATTTTGTAGGATAACAGTTCTGTAAGGTCGGTAAGAAAAAGAATCCCGAAGATTTTAAATTTTTTTTAGCCAATGATGGACACTGACACATGCAGTGACGTACAGTTTCCTAAGCCAAGGGTAGCTGGACATAACTTTTGAAGGCTTAACTATTCTGACAAAAAATATTCCATAATTTGACGAAGTCCTATAATAGATGAACTGTCAAATGTGCTGACCACAAAAACTTTTGTTTTAGAAAGCTCAAGGTATTGTTCACATATTGTATTGAAAGAGACAATTAAACTGCAATCTCGCAAATGGTTGTAATTCAAATCCAGTATTTTAGGACTGAACACAACAATGAATGAAAAACCTTTATAACTTTATGAATTAAAGACACTTGTTACTTATATGCATAAAGTGGTTAATAAAAAAGTTCAAGCGCTAAAATTTTTCCACATAACTACGACGTATATACCTGTGCAATGTCCTAAAAATATAACAGTTTTATCTTGACTAAATTGGGACGTTTTTCTTTCAAATTGTCGATTAAGTTGCTTATACATATGATAAATCTGTATACTTTTTTTTTGTGCTCACAATTCCAGCTTCTGGATGTTTGTCACTGTCACGACCTCATAGCCATATCATGGTTAAAAAGCCATGCCCTCAGTATATTGTTCAATGAAAATACCTGTATAGCAGTGGTGTCTAGCCACTGGAAATTAGCACCGTAGTTATACTAAGCCCTAGCACTTTTTAAAAATAATGGTTTATCATTAGGCAATGGGTCAATAACTATATAAGTGGTTATGGAACTGTTATAACAGTGACAGATAATTGAAGGTTTGAACACTAAAATATACAAACTCAGACTTACATTGATTAAGTCAAGTTATTGTATGTGGATAGGATAAATCATTAATTTTAGTAAGCACACAGAATGATGTTACTATCTTTAGCTCACAAATAGGTAGGATAGAAAACATGGTAATCGCTGAGATGTTAGCTCGAGGATCAGCAGGTTAGTGAAAGACTAACTGTTGAGTATCATGGGTATCTCCCATCATTATAAAAATTTTTCCTCAACAGAAAAATACATCTAACTTTCAGTTATAGATATAAATCTAAGCATAGACGATGAGTATCTATTTTAATAACAGTTAGGAATAAAAAGTGATCAAAATAGATATGATATGACTTACTATTCACACTCATATCGAAATTAGTGTGGTTTTAGCTTAAGTATATTTAACTTTCTTGTGCTCAAAATATATTTAAAAAATTTTTAATTTTATTTTATTGTCTGAAATAATTGAAGGATATTAAATATTAGAGGAAATAAATTAAAGTGATACTCGAAAAAAAAAATTTGAATAATAAAAAGAAAATTAAATGTTTTTTTTTTGCAAACAATCGTCAGTGAATGCTTTGTTTGGTATTAAATTATTTTGAACCAGAAGCGTGCCAAAATTTAAGCAACATGTAGCCTCATCATTGTAATAATCTAAGCAATTCATCCCTCTGCCAATGCCAAATATCTCAACGAAAGGCGAATGCTTAGCAAGTTTCAGTGAATTATAGTTCGTACATGTGTACGCAGCGCATACCGAAGACCATTCATTCATTCAGCATGCAGTCATCTCCCTTTTATCATTGAAACGGATTCAACATGATATGGCAATCATCAAAATCTTTTATTAAATTTTCTCAAATACCATTTCACCATCCTCATCCCATCCTCACTACTCTGCAGTAATTTTTTCCTTTTATTTGTTTTTTAATATTGTTCTTGCTCGCACAAATTGTTCAGGACACCATTAATCCTTATTTCACGGTTTTGTTGTCAAATTGCTCTTCGCTATTATGTGTATGTCTATGCAAGGACAAGTGGAATTTGCTCATGGATTTCAAAGATTAGCAGATATTAACGCTGCAAACAGATAAATAAAAGGGTGCCAATGACTTCTGATATTAGAAATGATGCGATCATAAATATTAAATTGTGCTTAACCATTTTATTTGAATACACTGAGAAAAATTTATAATTCATTAATTTATTCGTTAAGTTTAATTCCTTTAATCAACAATGCTATGGTGTTTTATAAAATAAATAATGGATTTAATTTTTGATGAAAATGCTTTGAAAATAGTATTTAAAAAATTTGGA